TATATATATCCACAGGGTCTCACTTGTAGTGATCCTCCTGTTGTCAGCCTCCCCAGCGCTCTGCATGCCCAGGGGCCGGTCCAGCACAGCATGTGGTGCTGGGGATCAAACCCCAGTCCCTATGCCTGAATAAGTAGGCACTTAGTCTGCTGAGTTATCTCACAGGCCCAATATTTCTAATATGAACACAATGAGAACTAGGACAGACACTCCCTGATGGCATGGCAAGCATAATAAAAGCTGGGTACAGAATGGTACAAATGAAGTTCCTTTCCATTAATGCCTCCATATTTTCATGACCTTGGTCTTTATATTTGAAATTTTAGCCAGGTATGGGGGCATATACCTATAATCCCAGCACTTGGGAGGGTGAGACAGGAGGATTGCTGTGAGTCTGAGGCCAGCCTGAGCTACAAAGTGAGTTTAAGTCCAGTCTAAACTATATAGTGAAATCCTGTTTCAAAAAGGAACATAAAAAGAAATTTTATACTTGTGTTGGTAATGATCTTGTACCATACCATTTATCTGCTGAGAAATGATGGGTTAGATTAAGACTGATTAAACCCAAAACTCAATGTTAGTGAAACACAAATTTTACTTATACATTTTTATGTTCTAGATTTCCAGTTCACAGTGGTAGCACCCTACCTTTGATATCAATAGATTTATTTTCTTTGCTTCTTTATTCTATTGGCAACTCAGGTAATTAATTTGGTGAGTAGACTTTATGAGAGAATCAGCATGTGTATATTTCCTGAGACCTGAGAAATCCAAACTTTTGGGTTTATAGAGGCATAAATAAAACTGTAACAATGCAAGTTGCAAAATAGAGCACCTGGATTCACTGCAGGTTAGAAATTTGGCTTCTCCAGGTTCTTACCCAGCTCAAGGACTTGTCAAACATTAATAGGCTTCACAGAAAGGAAATCAATGGAGAGAGAAAATGTAGGAGTTTTTTTGTTGTTGTTGTTTCGTTTTAGTTTTTTTGGTACTAGGAATTGAACTCAGGACCGTGTGCTTATCAGGCAAGCACTGTGCCACTGAGTTATATCCCCCGCCCCAGAAATGGGGTTTTCAAGTTAAGAAGTTGCCTCATTGTGTTGTCCTTTTCCTGGACACCAAATATTGTGTGTTTTCTGACACTAACCAGTTCTCCCAAGTCTCTGATGACAACTGGTCTCCTATAATTCAATTCACTTTTCACACTAACTGAGAGAATACATACCAGTAGAGTCTTTAACCAAGCAGTTTGGTAATATTTACCAAATGTACAAATGTCTTTACCTTTTGCTCTAACATCCCCACTTCTTAGAATTTATTGTGCAATGAGCCTGCATATAAATATAATGTGTCTATATATCTGTATACATAGTATATCTGCATATAACAATATCCACCGATGTATGGCATTATTCATTGCAATATTGTGTGACAAAGGAAAAAATTCAAGTATCCACCAGCAAATAGATTATAGTACAACTGCACACTGGAGCAGTAAGTTCTCTGTGTACCAAAATGGAAAGGGTCCTAGGATAGATTTCTTATGCAGTAAAAGATTAAGGTGTCCAGGAGAGCTGTTCTATGAACACCGTAGCTGAACATCCAATGGTTTCAGTGCCCAGGATGCTGCCACTGACCCTCTGTTCCATTTCCTGTGTTAGTGCATTGTCATCAGCGGAGAAAGTGGCTCGGGGAAGACAGAAAGCGCCCACCTGATTGTTCAGCATCTGACTTTCTTGGGAAAGGTACTGACCTACCTGTGTTGCGTATTTGCCTACAAGTTCCTGCAGAGCAACTGCATATTTTATAAATGATGGAATTACTATTTTTTTTAGAAGGGGTTACATAAAAACATTTTATCTTTCTTATGTTTGCCTCCTGAGAGCTAGATCTCTTAAGATTTCAGCAGGCCATCCTTATTTCATGCAGTGAGGGAAATAATTCTAGCATGAATTTACTAGATTATTGCCAATTAATTTTTTGTGTTTTCAGTGTAATAGAAACATTTAGCCATTAAGTAGTAAATGTGGTTACACACTATGAGCAAGATCGGGCAGAGCTGCTATGGTAAGTAGGGGGGTGGGTTGGCAGATGCAAATAAATCTCTGAGTATAAGGCAAAGGAAATGAACATTTTCATTTTAGCAAAACAGACACTGAAGAAATGAGTGCAAAATCGGTCTAATAGTTACTTCTACTCAGACTTAGTGTACTGTGTGATCAGGGAAATAGATGGAATAGTTTTAATAGATGAGGATGACTGAGAAAGTTATGAGGTATCTTTTTATTTTTTTTTTTAGGTGTTTTTTTTTTTTTTTTTTCCGGAACCAGGGATTGAACTCAGGCCCTTGCACTTGCCAGGGAAGCGCTTATTCCACTGAGCCATCTCCCCAGCCCTGTTATGATGGTATATGTAGCCCAGTGGCACAGTGCCTGCCTGGCAAGCGCAAGGTCCCGAGTTTGATTCCTAGTACCAAACAAAAAAGTGGTTCCAAACTTCTTAGCATTTTATCTGTGAAGGATTTCAAATGAAGTGCAGCAAGATTTAAAAACTGCTGCCCTACTCTACCTGTATGACTCATACATATCAGGCACATTTGAGACAATGATGCGGATAGTAGATGCTAATTTCTCTAAATAGAGAGGGAAAAGGCTCTGTGAATTGCCAGGGGCAAGGGGGGAGTGCTCGGTGTTTTTGCTGGGGTCCCTTTCATGCTCACCTCTGTACTCTTCTCTGTGGCACAGGCCAACAATCAGACCTTGCGAGAGAAAATTCTCCAAGTCAACTCCCTGGTAGAGGCCTTTGGGAATGCATCTACGGCGATCAACGACAACTCGAGCCGCTTTGGAAAATATCTGGAAATGATGTTTACGCCAACCGGAGCTGTGATGGGGGCAAGAATCTCTGAATATCTCCTTGAAAAATCCAGAGTCATAAAACAGGCGGCGTAAGTCTACTGCTTTGTCCCTGAATTATAAGCTTGAAGGCTTTAGCAGTTTCCATATTCCATTTGCATCCCTGTTCTTTAGCATCCCCCCACCCCACCCCACCAATCTCCAGGTTCCCTACGAACAAGGAATTATTTTAAAAGGGTTAGTGGGAGTTTTTATCTAAAAGTTGTTACAGAGCAGAGTACAAAGTGCTGGATGCAGGAGTGGTTTTGGACTCGATATGCTTGTTGCCTCTCACTTGGTGGATCTGGTAGATTTCAACATTCTTGCAGATACTTTCAAAAAAAATCATCAAATCTCTTAAATTTAACTCATCTACAAAAACCACTGAGAGTATTCAATGTGTTAATTTTTCCTAGATGAAGAGAGAAAAATAATTATCCTGTTTTAAGAAGAGCAGTATATTGATAGGTAATGAAAATTGATAGTGTGGGCTTGGCAGTGGGCTCAAATACTGGCCCTGGCACTGGGTGACACTGGGTATGACACAGATCCCTTCTGTGCCTCGGGTGTGAAATGGAGATGCAGCTGGTGCTGACTTCATGGTGTGTCGTAAGGATCCGTGAGTTCATTTATGTAAAACCACTTAAAAGAATGCCTGGTGTGGAGCACTCTGTCAGCGTGAGCCACTCGTGCCATTATACTGTCCTTGCAGGACGTCAGAGCTCCTCGGGGGCGTGGCTCCACACACACATAGTCATGCATTATTCAGCACCTGCCATGTGCTGGGGCTGCCTTGGGAACAAGGCGCTTGAATTCAGAGCTTGAAGTGTGGTGGCTGAGGAGAGACGGGAGGTTGGCCTTCTTAAAGGAATAAATGTAACACAGGGAAAATGTGTTCAGTGTCAGGAAGCAATGTAAGGGGGTAGGAAGGCAAAAGAGAAGGAAAGAGCCACAACTTAGAGCAGGAGCAAAGAGGGCTTTTGTGGGTAGATGTTTAATCTGAGACCTGAGGATCATGACAAATCAGCCAACAAGGTGGGACAGGAGTAGGGAGTGAGAAAGTGGTACAGATGACACTAAGACCAGATCACACAGAGCTTTGGAGCCAGGTTGAAGATTTCAAACCTTTTTCCAAGGATGCAGGAAGCTGTGGGATATGGGAGTCGCCAGTCCCCGAATACATTTGGTGATGCTTCATGGACCAGCGGAGAGAACACTGTACTGATATCACCAAGAGGCTGTCCACTGAATCTGAGAAAGAGAGGGAAAGAGGGAGAGAAAGAGATAGGAAAGGAGAGAGGGTGAGGGAGAGGGAGAGGGAGGGAGGGAGAGGAAGGGAAGGAGGAAGAGAGAAAGAGAGAGAGAGAGAGAGAGAGAGAGAGAGAGAGAGAGCAAGCCTGGTTAAGGTGGTAGAAGAGAGGGGGAGAGAGAGGTAGACAAGTCTAGGGCTCCTGGGCACACGGGCTCCACAGGCCCAGATTGGCTTAGGAGCCCAAGTGCCGGTGTGTAGCTCAGTGGTCAAGCATTTGGCCAGCAAGCTCAAGGCCTTGACTTGCATTCTAGTACTACCGGACAAAAATAAAGACCAAGCCCGAGCATATTCCCCTACCATGCATTTACAGTGTCCGCGTACGATGGAGATTGGCGGAGCATTGCACAAAGGAGTGAAAAGATCAGCAAGAGGGGCTTCCAATTCCCTGCCAGTCCTCACACATTTGTTTACTCAATTATAATTTTATCTCTTATGGATCTTAATTTCTATTTTTTTAAAAAATAAATCTTATTGTGTACATTTAAGGGCTAGCATATGATGTTACGGGATGTTAAGTGATATAGACAGAAAGTAAAAAAAGTTACCACTTAAGCATCAAAAGCTAACATGACTACGCAGACCTGGCACTTATCTGAAAGCCCCCAACCTGAAGGATATTGGCCAGAGTGGCTAAGAGATAGAAGCGGGACCAGTCAGCCAGCAAGGTGGGGCTGAGGGATGTCACTTGGGTACCTGAAAGCACACCCATGTGGGCAAGTGGAGACCTCAGGTATGGACCACTTCCGTACCCCAGCCTGTTCTACAGCGTACAAGTCACCTCCTGCCCAGGGTGCAGTGTAGTAGTAGGTGACTTAGCTGGTCTCCTCAAGGTCTCTGATGCAGCAGGAACTAAAACCAGGGGCGTGTGGCACAGGTGCTGGGTAACCTGAGCTGTTACCTGTTCCAGTCTCTAAAACCTCCTTCTGTTCACAGTAAAGATAAGTGTGCTTAACAATGTGAAATGTGACAATTATTGTGTGAATCTTATCACCATTACTATTCTGTAATTGGGTTGTAGTATATTTAACTGTCTGAAAGTGTACATTTTTTATGAAATAATATTTTGTGCTGAAAGGAAATGATATAAATTACTTCTGAGTAAAGAATTCCACAAGATGATATTAACAAATATCTTTTTTTTCCTCAGGGGAGAGAAAAATTTTCACATATTTTACTATATTTATGCTGGTCTTTATCACCAAGAGAAACTTTCTGAATTCAGACTTCCTGAGGAAAAGCCTCCTAGGTAAGTATCAGGAGGTTTGCTTGTTAATTTTGAGTGAATGTTCACTTAGCACTTGGCAAATTCACAAGTAAATGGAGCTGTTTTCCTAACTGGAAGCTCATAATCTATTTAGCTTAAATACGCAGGATGAGATGGCAAGAATCACATCTTAGCATTTGCATTTTCTAGAATGCTCAAAAACTTGACTGTTTTGTTCAGCCATGGCTGTGCTATTGTCATCCATCCATCCATCCATCCATCCAGCCAGCCAGCCAGCCAGCCAGCCAGCCAGCATTGGGTGACAGAAGAGGAGCCCACCTGGCCCCTGTCCTGGCATTTGAGGTGCTATTTCCAAGTCAACAGTCATTGTGTTTGGTGATAGGTACATAGCTGATGGCACCGAGAGAGTCATGCAGGACATAACTTCCAAGGAGTCTTACAGAAGACAGTTCGAAGCAATTCAGCATTGCTTCAGGATTATCGGGTTCACTGAGAAGGTAGGTGATTGTCAAGAGCGATGTTCACATGTTAATATGCTTAAATGAATGAGATGGAAGATGTGGATATTCTAACTCGGGGTAGAGTATGTACAGTAATCCTGGTGTGTGTGGTACTGGGGATTGAACAGGGCCTTCCCACTGAGCCATAGCCCCAGTCCTTTTTTTTTATTTTTTATTTTGAGACAAGCTAATTGAAACTCAAATTTGCTCTCTTCCTGCCTCAGCCATCCAGAGGCTGGTGGATACGTACTTTTCAAATGTCTCCTTGGTCCTGTAGTAAGATCTTGCTATTCAACGTGTGGTCCAAGAACCAGAAACTTTGCCATTGCCTGAAAGCTTGTTTGAACTGAAAGCAGAATACACGTTTAGAAAGGTTTTCAGACGAACATAAAGTAGCAGAGCTATTGTAGGGATCGGGAACCGATGCATTACTAGCAATTCACTATGACTAAATGACAAACACCAGAAGAGTACTGCCCTTTTCTGAGTTCAGTTCCTTCCAGCCACTAACTTGAATTGTGTATAGGAGTACAGTACTCTGTGGGTTATGCCCAAGCCATAGAAATATATTTATGCAAGTAGCTCTTTGTGCATCAAGACAAATTAATTGAACACTTCGACTTTCGTTCAGTCACTTCCTCCTTCATGGCCACAATTGCACACTGTGGCTCTAAATATTATACTACCTTCATCATAGTAGATACACATGGACTATTAAATCTATGCTTAGGATGACAGTATTTATAACCCTAGGATCACATATTATTCTGTGGTACATTGTGTCATAGTTTCTGGGCTTCATGCCATCAATTTTCAAAACATATAGTTTCTTTTGCTTTTCCAACAAAGGGAGTGAATGATTAGGAGGTAGGTAAGAATGTTAAATCTTAAAGGATTAGATTAAAAACACTCCAGTTACCTTGGGACAGTCACTCTAGATAAAGAATTTCTTCTGAAACCCAGAGTTTGGCTGGCTTTTTCCTCCTCAGTGTGGTTGATTTTAGTCATAAAAATACCTTTCTTTTTTTCTAGCCAGCAATGACTTTTCCCTATTGGCCTCCCACAGATTTTAAACTGATAGACAGTGGAAAATCCCAAAGGTCAGATAAAAATAGAAATATATTTCCCTTGGCTCCTTAGAGGAGAGCAATTAATTAGGTGTTAGCTCTGTTAAAAGACCTTTATGGTCATTAACTTATAGAGCTGGTCTTTATCAACCGTGTCACCAGAAGAGTCAAAGTGTGATAGCAATGGCAGTAGAGCCATTGAAAGTTACTTGGGTCATGCAGGAGTGTCCAGGGCGTGCTTCTGTAGTAGTGCGTGAAGTCTGTGAAGTCAGGCTGTAAGGCTTTTGGCATTTTGCTTTCGATGGAAACAAGGATGGTTAGAGAATCCTGTGAAGAGATGGCACCAAGCTCTGGAAGACGGCACACAGTGGCACCATTGCAGTCATAAATGTATAACACTAGTATTAATAAAGCAGATACTATCCATTTAAGATACTAAAATAAAAAACAGAAGGCATCAAATACGTTAAGTTTATGCCTTTGAAGTAAGCTATCTCTAACCCTTGTGGGGAAAAAAGCACAACATAAATAAATGAATGAATATGAAAGGAAAGAAAGAAAAAAGTTGACGAAGATTCCTCACTTGTGCCCGATCTGGACCGTCTAATGACTCGCCAGAGCATGTGGTATATCTGTGTGTGTATCTTCACTGTTTCCCACCTTCATTCATGCTGGAAAGAAACCAATGTACACTGGTTAGCAACCTTAGAAACGGAATGAAGAGTGAGGATCTTGCCTTACTGACCCTACGTTTTGTGCTCATTTCTCTGCAGACAACCTGTTTTGCTGGAATAACTCAGTCCACTTTGTACTTATTTATTTATTTATTTATTTATGTATTTAGCGCAGGGCCTACAGGGTCTCACTACACAGGCTGGACTTGTAGTGATTCTCCTGTTTTCAGCCTCCCAAGTGCTGGGATTACAGGCTTACGCCACCACGTCCAGTCTCAGTCCCCATCTCAGTGCACCCGGAAGTAGGGCTGGCACAGCACACAGGGGATCGAACCTCGGTCCCTGTGCTGAGCTATCTGGCTGTCCGTCCACTTTGAATTTATAAACTCACAGGAATGTGATTAAATTCAGAAAGATTTGGTTGAAGTCAAGCAGCAGATGCCAAATGGCTGATGTAACGGAACTTGCTCTTCAGCTTTTCTGACAGACATTTCACACAGAGCTTAAATGAGCTGGTCAATTCAATCAAAATTTACTCTTCCTGCCCTTTCTTTGAAGACCACTTAATTCCCCACAGGGTTCCTTTTAAGTTTTTTCTCAAACCTGTCCAGCAAAATTATGAGCGGCAAACTTTAATATGGACTCAGGAGGATGATTTTAATTCCAGGACACCAGCCAAAAGTGTCTGAAGTGACACTTACCTCGGAGTTTATTGTAAAGACACTTTCTTAATGACAGAAACTTCCAGTAGTGCTGATTGTTCCTTGCAAGGAGTTTAAGGGATTATACAAAAACCCTCTTGTGAAGATCAGTACTTTTCAACTTCTATGTGCGGAGTTGAACCATACTGCTTTTGTTGAATATTATGCTTGTTTTGTAGATATAGGACTTGTATATCAAATCTAATTATAATTGACATATTTAATACTACGTAAGAGGGGCCGGGGAGATGCCTCGGTGGAATAAGCACTTCCCTGGCAAGTGCAAGGGCCTGAGTTCAGTCCCTGGTTCTGCCAAAGGGGGGAAAATTGAAAGGGAAAAATGTTTTGTTAAATGATTTATACAATGGTCAAGATTGGACATATACTGCAGATTCATGGATGCAGAGATGAAGGGGAAACCTTTGAGTTCAGGGCAAAAATTATTTCTTTTTTTTAAAAAAGAGATTATTAATTAAGGAGAGAAGTGAAAGCTTTATATGCTAAAATATAACTAGAGAGTCTTGAGGATTTTCAGAGCCTTCCTCACATACAATAGGATATCACTGACATTTTTTAATATAGTAAAGATTGAACTGAAGTCTACTACTGAGCTACATACCCAGGCCTTTCTAGTTTACTTTTTGAGATAGGTAGGGTCCCGTTCCATGGCCCAGGCTAGCCTCAAAGCTGAATCATCTTGCCTCAGCCTCCCAAGTTGCTGGGATTGCAGATATGTGTCACTGTGCTCAATGCTATTGACTTTAAAGATGCCAGATGTTTTGAACCTCTGCGGAGGGGGGGTAGTGAGATGCTAGAGTAGGGTTTACAGTGAGACACCTTCAGCTGGCCCTAATGTGGTGCTTAGAGCAGAATGGGTATAAACCTGGAGGCCTACCGAACAGAGAGAAGGTATGGTGAGACAAGAAGGGGAGGGAAACTCCTGGGAGTTAAAGAGAGAGAATGACCCGAGAGGCCTGCAAACCAGGGCAGCAGGGGCTTCAGTGCATCAGCCCCAGGTCCTTCTGAACTTGCACCTTGGCCCTAA